CCAGTCAGGGGCGGGAGGCGGGCATGGAAACAACTTCTCCCGTGCATTCTGGCGGACTGTGAGGGAGGGCTAGCTTTGAGGGCGGAGATCGGCCTCCTCACTTTGGGCCCACTGAGGGAGGAAGGAAAGGAAGGAATGTGTCTTGAGTTTTAGGGTGCTGACAGTGAAGGCAGAGGGTGGTCTCCCTGAACTACCATGTGTGGAGGTGCTACCTCAGTGCTCATGACTGGGTGCCACCTGAGGGTGTCCACGGCTCCCCGAGGTGGAAGGTTAGGCACTGCGTTCATGGCTCCTGGAAGTCCCCGTGCTGCTGCTGCCCTGGGTTTCTAGGCTGCTCAGCTCCTGTGTCCCACCTTCCCAGCAACATCGTGAGCGTCCTTATTCTTCTCTTGGGATCTGGAACATCCAGCGCTATCGAATCTGTGGCGAGGAGACCGTGATGAAGTTCACAGGATGTAAGAGTGTAAGACCGTCTCACCGGCGTCACAGGGGCGTGGAGGTACAGGCTGAGCGTCAGCTGTTCCTGTCAGCCGGGCCGTGCGTTCCGTGTGTTGGTGTGGGCGCACGAGGCTGGCGCTGTTGGCTGGCTGTGAGCGGGTTCCCTCGGACATCGCGGGTGCCCTGGTTCCGTCTGGTTCCGCCGCATCTCCAAGGAGGAGCATCTTTTCTTCTGTTGCTGCTCCTCCTCCTTGGCTTTCTCCTCCCTGCGATTGCCGTTGACACAGACTTCCGCTGCCAAAGCTAATTGTGAAGCCTGATCAGTGAATGAAGGCAAAGGCAGTTCCCATGACAACCGCAAAGAGTTTCAAATATAGGGGATGATGTGTGTGTGATGGGCTGCAATTACTTGGGTGGAAATTGATGCGTGGACACCGGGGACTTCAAACATAGGCTCTGAAGGTGGAGGGGGTGTTGGGTTTCTTTGGCAGGATCCTTTGTGTGATGGAAAGGGAAGGAGGTCGCAGACTTCCCCCACAGTCACTTCCAAGTGCCTTCAGTGTGTGGAACGTGGGGCTAAACCCCGCAGGGCCTTCGGGGAGGCAGGACCCCAGCCGTTCCGCTTGGGAGGCAGGACACTCATACAGAGACACAAATAGGATACCGAGTGTCAAGTGAGGAACATTAGAAGTGCTGCGGGCTGGCAGAGGGTAACTGGGGTAACTGGAGAAGGCTTCCTGGAGGAAGCGGAGCTCGAACTAAGCTGTGAATTGGAGCCCTGTGGAGAGTGACCTCGTTCAGGACAGCCATGGCAAGGGCAGAGGAGAAGTCTGTCTTCCTCTACCCGCTGCTGGCTTTAGAAGAGGTAGGTGGGAATGAAAATCAGACTGCTGCCCGGAGCAGCCCTGACTGTACTGCTGTGGGAGAGGCAGTGGAGAGAGCCCTGCTGTGTCATTTTCTAGCTATGTGACCTCGGGCAAGGTGCCGAGCCACTCTGTATCCCAGTTTCTTCACCTGGAAAATGGGCGTGAATAATTCCTGTCTCGATGGTTTATTTTGAGGGTTAATTAAGATACAATATATCACGCCACAGATGTGGGGCCTAACATGGGGCTGGTGCTTGGTTGGTGGATCTTGCAATCTTCAGATATGTGTCTGGGTCCATACTTCCTGGTCTTTACGTATCTGTGGGATCTGGCCTGTGGGCATCTGTATTCCTCATTCAGACCCTGTTGGGGTGTTTTGTGTGTCCTACAAGTGTGCAGGGCTGTAGTCCCATTTCTCCTGCTGAGAGTGCAGTGGGGACTAGGGGGCCATGATGGAAAGTGGGGAAGGACCCCCAGCCGCCATGCAGAGGAGTCCCAGGTCCCTCAGGTTGGCCACTGTGAAGCCCCAAACATAGAGAGGCAGACAGAGATGGGAGAAGGGTCAGGTGGGAGTGGAGCGTGTCCCTGCTGGAGGCATCATGGTCCTGACTTGCACCTCCTTGATTTCCTTTAAGTCCAGGTGCCTTAGGAGAAGGAAAGGAGGCCAGAGTAAATGGCGATGAGAGCAGGTAAACTGCCATGGGGACTGTGGGACCCTCTGGAGTGGCCAAAGCCTGCTGCAGGTAGGGTGAGGACCTGTGGTTGGTTCGGGCTGAGTTGGGGGGAGATGGCCTTGAGCAGGGAGTTGGAGTGATGTTGGCTCTGTGGCTCCTGCAGGTTGGCGAGGAAGATGCCTGCTGGCTGAATAAGGCTGGGTCTGGGCTGCAGTTCAGGTACAGCAGGTCCTGCCCTCCCAAGGACAGCAGGAGTCCCTCGGATCCTTGAGGACCTTAGCAAGAAAGCTGCCCAGGAGACCAGCCTCCCTGCCTCCGTGCCCAGCCCCCTGCCTGTCCACCTCCTTGTGTAGAAACTCAGCTCAGCACATTCCAGCTCTGAGCAGAGCCTAGTGAAATGGGGAAGACGGCCCTCCACCCACGTGGGGAGGACCTCCACGTAAATAAATAGCTTCACTTTGTTGTGACTGGTGCCTGGGGGAGGCCCCCATGCTGCTCTGCGAGGACCCAGGAGGAGCGGGGGAGTTCAGGGGCTTGGCCATCTGAGAAACTGGCAGAGGGGAGGCAGCGTTCAGCTTGGCGTAAGCTGTGCACCACATCAGCTTGCCAAGTGGGGAGGGGAGGGGAATCCGGGCCGAGGGAGCAGCCTCAGGAAGTCTGAGGCGAGGAACTGTGCTCGGATCCGTACTTTAAAGGCAGTGCTTGAGATCCAGTGACCCCAAGCCTCCTTGCATCTCCCTGGGGTTGGCAGAGAGGGAGAGGTTACAGAACTGGAATAAGGGCCTAGATTTGTCAAGTCCACCACACACCAGCTGTGTTTGCAGGTACGTTAACATCTCTCAGTCATCTCTGCCTGCAAGAGGAAGGTTGTGTGTGGACTTAGTCAAATGGGAGCTCCTACAACTGCGGTTGGCACAGGGCCTGGTACAGAGCAGGGGCTTGATAGACTGTGGCAGGCGCAGCAGCAGCTGTGCGCGCCGTCACCCTCCGAGCAGTGTTGGTCTCTCTTGTCCGGCAGCAGACTGTGTGTGGGGTAGGCGGCTGGAGCCAGGTTTTGGGGACCAGTTCAAAGGCCATTTTCCACCTAGCCGGGTCAAGGGTGCAAATGCCCAGTGTTCCACCTCGAGCCATGGCTTAGGACACTGTTCCTTGCCCTGCCTTGTCGCCCGCCTCCTAATTGCCCTGGGAGGAGCGCAGTGGGGCTGCCTCGTCCTCAGGGGAGGCGGATGTGGGCCCTGGTGCCTTCTGGGCTCTCCTCACCAAGGCCAGCTTTGCTGCCTCTCCTTGGGCAACACATCCTGTCCTGGGTACCCTCTTGAGGCCCTGGGAGGGCACAGCAGCTAGGCGTCGTGGGGGAGTGGGTAGTAGAGCACATCACTGGCTCGGGGTGCTCACGCAGCCTAGCTAGTCCTGTGAGTCACTTCTCCTCTCTGGCCTCAGCCTATTCCTCTGTGAGAACGAGAAGTAATACCCGTGAGCTCTTGCAGAATTGAGACTGATAGCGGTGGCAGGCTCGGTGCTGCGCCTCCTCACGGGCATCATCTCAGCCGTGTGAAGGAGCTGCTATTTGGGGTTCTAAACTTTACCCATGAGCAAAAAGAGGCTGAGAGAGGTAAGTGCTGACCAGCCAGGTGGTGGTGGAGCTGGGGTGTGTGGGTACATGGAAGACACCTTTGTGGGAGCTGTTAGAGGCAGGGAATGCGACAGAGAAGATTTGTCCAGGGATGTCCAGTTCAATCCAGGAGTAAATTGCAGGCCCCCCCCCCCTTTTCCATCACTTTCCTTCACCCTGCCTTTCCTTCAGTCTCTTAGGAATATTGCGGCCCTCACATGCTCAAACTAGAAAGCCGGGACTCCTGCAGTCTGGGCCACTTCTCTTCTCCTGCCTTTCCTGGAGGTGAGGAGCCCCGAGGTGCAGGAGAAAGTGGGACTTGGAGGCTTGGGATACTCCCACGGACTCTGCAAGGGACTCTGCAAGAGAGAACAGTTGTGGGGCTGTGGTGGGAGGCTGTCTGGGGTGGAGAACATCCAGGCACCAACGGAGAGTGATCCAGAGTGAGGAGTGGGTAGGGCTGACTTGAACCACAGACAGGGTGGGCTCTGAAGGGACGGAGCAGAACTGCCTAAGGGTCTTTAGGGCCAGCCAGCCAGGCTTGGAGTCCCGGCTCTGCTGTGTTCTGGCTGTCACCTTGGTCGAGCTACTTCACTGTCTTGCTGTTTCTTCATCTGAAAAATGAGATAAAGGTTCGTGCTTCCTAGGCTTTTTCTGTTCCTTCTAGGGATGAAGGGACTCTTCACTTCATGCTCTTATCCCAGAGCTCGGCACTGTCCTTGCTACTGCCAGGATGAGTCTGGGGTTAGGGAGCGGGAGCGGCAGAGCGGGAGCGGGAATCCCAGCAGCGTCTGCCCTACTGAGGCGCAGTCTGCCATCTTTGACCCTGGAGGTGCAGAGGACACCTTCTGGGTATTAGGGCTCAGGGGCTCGAAGGAGGAGGCAGGGATCCCCAACCTGTCCCCGGGATCCCTTAGCCTGCCGGGACCGACAGCGGGCCTGGGAAGCAGCCAGAGCTGCTCGGCAGCACCCTCGGGGGCGGCCTCCGCCCCCTGGCTGGGCAGGTCCACCGGGCGGGGGCAGGGCCGGCCGAGGGATTGGCTGGCTAGCGCGCCGCCCCCTCGCACACCAGCCTCGCGGGGCGGGGAGGGAGCGCAGCCGGCAGCTGGCCGCCGCCGCCGCCGCCTCCTCTGCCGTGCCTC